TGCAGCCTCGTTTTTATTAGGATGGTGCCTTGATACTTTAAAACCAGTTAAGTTTTACAAAATGTCCTTTTCTAAGCCTGCTAATATTAGGAAACTTTTAAAACATCGAAAAATATAAAAGAATATAGAAAACATATACATACAACTTAGGAATGGTAAACATCACTGAGTTTCACACCCAGGCTGAAAAACAGAACATCGCCACATCCCAGAAGCCCTGAGGTGTCTTTCAGATATGCTCTCGCGTCCCCAACAGGGGAACTTTAGAGAGACTTTTGTGTTCCTCATGCTTTACATGGTTTCCTCAGCAAAAAAATAGCTTTCTTTTGACTTGTTTTTAATTTATGTATGTGGAATCATACATAATCTTTTAAGATTTGCTGCTTTCATTCAATATTATGTCTTTGGGATTTATTTGTATATAATTGTAATACACTACTTCCCTTGAATGAGCACACCCAGACTTAGGGACTTCCTTATTCACTCCTTATCCACTGTTGATGGATGTTTGAGCTGCTTCCAGAGTTTGGCTGTGATGCACTGTTATGCTCTACATGGCTATATGTGCATTTCCTGGTGTCCACACGCAGCTGTGTACCTGGGCTCTGTATGCAGGATGGGAGACCTGGTACTCTACTTCCTTGCCAATGCTGGGTTATATAGCTTTTTTTTTTTTTAAAGAGATTTTTTTTTTAATTGGGCAATTGGGGGAAGGGGAACAGACATGTTGCTGTCATTTTGTTCTTCAGTCTAGTTGTGGAGGACGTTGATTCACTGGCCCAAGTTGGCACCATCATTGCGCTCTTCCCAGGCAAGGCATATCAATTGCTGGCTTCTGGACGGCCGCTCACTGCGGCTGCTGGCCGCTCACGCTGGCTGCTGGCTACACACGGTAGCCCATGGCAACCCACTGCCACAGGGGCTACAGCCTACGCCATCGCTGGCGACTCACGGCAGCCCAGCTCCAGGTTGAGCTGTTGTTCAGCATCTTAGCTGTGGAAGGCAGTGTCACTGGCCCTCATATGTGGGATCCGAACCAGGGCCCTCTGGCATCCTAAGCCAGCTCTTAACCATCGCGCCACTCGGTGGGCCCTATATAGCTTTTTAATTTTTGCCAATTGCTATTTTTAAAAGCTGTTCTTTTTCTCATTATTACATTAGTGAGGATGAGCTTTCATATGTTTATGGACCACAGGTATGTCCTGTTTGGTGATGTTTCTATACAGTTCCTTTGCCCATTTTCGCTTGGATGTTGTCTTTTCTTCTTAGCTTATAGAAGTTTTATATGTTTTGAATATTAAATGCCTTTCTGTAGTTTGTGGTTTAACTTTTTTCTCTTTACAGTGTCTTTTCCTGAATACAGTTCCAAATTTTAATGCAGTTGGATGTATTTATCTTTTCCTTCATGTTTTGTGCTTTTTCTCATGTTTTATTTCAGAAATTGTGATTCCTTCTGTGATAGGCAGAATAATGGTCCCCCCATGGATGACCATGTCCTAATCCCCAAAGCCTGTGGATTTGTTAAGTTACATGGCAAAGGGGAGGTAAGGCTGCAAAGGGAATTAAGATTGCTAATCAGCAAACCTTAAAATAGGAAGATGACCCTGGATTACCTGGGTGAGCCCAATATAATCACAAGGCTCCTTAAACGTAAACGGGATTCAGAGGGAGATTATAGAAGAATGGGCTGAGCCTTTTGGGAACTTCCAGAGAGGTGTAACACTGCTGCCTTCAAAGATGGAGGAAGAGTGGCTCATTGGTTAAGAGTTGGCTTGGGATGCCAGTTCTGAGCAGCAGGGCCGCCAGTTCAGATGCTACATGGACCAGTGACACTGCGCTCTCTACAGCTAAGATGATGAACAGCTCGACTTGGAGCTGGGCTGCCGTGAGTCACCGGCAACAGCATTGGCTGCAGTGGAGCTGCAGTGGGCTGCCATGAGCTACCGTGACTGGCCGGCAGCTGGTGTGAGCTTTCGTGAGCTGTCATGAGCCGCCGTGAGCTGCCGTCCAGAAGCCGGCAAGCGACTGCCTCACCCGGGAAGAATGCAATGATAATACCAACATGGGCCAGTGAAGCGACGCCCTCCAGAACTAGACTGAAGAACAAAAGGACAGCAACTTGTCTATTCCCCTTCCCCAATTCCCCAATGCTGTTTCCTCCCCCAATTCCCCAATAAAACCTTTAAAAAAAAAAGAAAACAAGATGGAGGAAGAGGGCCCTGAACATGGGCAGCCTCTGGAAGCTGGTAAAGACAGGGAAATGAATTCCTCCTTAGAATCTCCAGAGAGGAAGGCAGCCCTGCTTACACCCTGATGTTAGCCCCGTGAGACCCATGTTGGACTTCTACAGAACAATACATTTGTGCTGTTTTAAGCCACCAAGTTTGTGGCCATGAGTTAGAGCAGTAATAGACAACCACTACACCAACTGTACCTTGTTTTAGTTTATTCAAGGAAAACTGATTCTTCTATTGAGCCCAAATCGGCTACTCTGTATTTTCCACCCCCTGTGTTCCCTGTGCCTCTCTCTAGTTCAAAAGTTCCCAATGTGGATTGCACATGAGCATCACTGAAAAAGCTTTTAGAACATATTGGCTCCAAATATAAAAATAAAAAACACCTTGATGCCTGGGCCCCAAACCAGACCAATTAGTCAGAATTTCTTCAAGTAGAAACCAGACATTAGTAGTTTCCAATATCACTCCATCCCTTTATCTATCCATTAACCCATTCTTTGGGGGGATCTAGTTTAAAGTCAATTGCAGACATGAGTAAACTTCCCCCTCAATGATGTATTTTTTAAAGCTCTCCAGGCAATTCTAATACAGCCAGGGTTGAGACCCCTGAGACTAGTTCAAGTGTAATCCTTCTTCATTGGGGCAACCCTTCAGTTATGGACCCTCATTAGCCACTCTCAAGCCTGCACAGTATTTCACCCACCCACCCTCACTGATGGCCTCTGGGCCTTCTTTCTCCAGCTCTGCAATATCCATGCTGATGCTTCTGGTGTCAGGTGGAGAGAACACCTGCCCAATCCCCAGTCCAGGAGCTCTGTAGGGCAGTGGCACGATGTGATTGCTGTTTTATATCATCCTGTTGTGCTTTGCAATGGAATAGTGAACACTAAAAAAATAATTGTTTCACTTAGGCAACCGGATAGACGTAAATTCTACTTATGGGTAGCTTTGTTTGGTTTAGGAAAGTAAAGACATGTTAGCCTGGTTAAGTGCCAGTGTTAAGATGGATTAGAAAACTGGATTTGGTCATAGGTGTCATGACCTGCAGGGTTACCCAGGCCAACAGATAATGAAAGGCATACACAAGAGACCTTCAATGGGAGAACACAAGTATTTCCTCGTGAGGAAAAAATGGGGATCAATAATGACTCATTTTTCTTCTGCCAATTATTCAATAATTCTGGCATAAGTTTCCCAGAATGTTAGAAAATTTAATCACAGGTTGCTTTAACCTCTTTTAAGCTTATAGATACTTGTTTAATACTTATAAAATATTGTTAACCTAATTTTCCAAACTCCTTCCTCTCTGAGAATTTTAAACATTGTTTTCTATATTATGAATGTAAACAGGGATGATATGTGAGAGTAGTAACAACAAACTTGCTTACTCTTAGAGTCTCCGCTGAGATAAAAAGAACAAAAATACCTTTGGAATTTTCCATGGGGGAGATCTGCTGTGCCCTTGGGGAAGGTGAGAAAGAAATCCAGCCTCTAAAGACTCAAGTAAGACCTTTTCATACTCCCAAGGCCACATCTTCAGTGTCAAGAGAGCGGATAAGAATTATGTGCAAAATTGGTCTATTATTGCTAGCCTAAATAAACTGTAGCCTTTGAGGGTTCCGAGAGCCTTCCTAGAAAACCAGTCAATTAAAAAAACTCAACAAACCTATTTAACTGATAGTTCTGTTACTGAAAACGACTTTGCATTTGTACTTTATGTAAAGTAAAGCAGGCTGAAAGTCAAAATGACCTTTAAAAGGAAAATATTTACATGTGTCAGTTTTTACTTCAAGAGTTCTGAAATCTTGCTGAAGAGATCCAGTGAATTTTATTTTGCTTTGTTTGCTTTTCCATTTCAGCAAACAACAATATTTTCCCCTTCCTACTGTCATTGCCAATTTAACATAAAAATATTCTGAGATTGGCTTCTGAAGAGCAAGGCCATAGTAGCTTAGGGGAAATAAAATAAGAGAAACCTTGTTATTGGGGGGTGGGGGGTGGGGCGGGAAGTAGCAGAGTAAATAAATCCCTAAAGAGCTTTGATCCCTATAGAGTAGAGGTCAAAGGCACAAGATATTTTCTTAAATGCTCTTAAATTATTAAAAGTGTGTGGTGTGTGTGTGTGTGTGTGAGAGAGAGAGAGAGAGAGAGAGAGAGAGAGAGAGAGAGAGAGAGAACCACACTGTGATCTATACATTTTCTGGCTTCAGAACTTTTTCTTTCTTTTCAAATCATGTTCCAGATAAGACAGTCTCATTTCTCCTACAAATGAGATTTTTTTTCCCTTTTCTCAGATGAGAATAGAGATGGAAATGGCATATTTACTGCCAAAAAATTTCAAAATACTCCATGACCTTTACTTTCTTAAAGAATAGGGAAGTATAATAGCTGAAAAACTACATTTCATTTAAAACAGATGAGCAGAATCCCCAACAGTGGGACACTTTGTATCTCTAAGCAACATTGCCCCCACCTTTGTCAACTCATTTATCTGGCTGATTATCAGTGCTCTGTTTATCATCCAGCCTTTTGGTGTATGTGTCACATAATATTAGGAGACAAAACAATTCAATGATAAGAAAATGAAGCTTTCCATGTGTATAAAGCCTGAAGCTGAGCATCACCCCTCTGGTCAAGTTGACCTAATCTGGGTAGAATGTACAAACAGTAAATCTCTCTCTGGAATCTGTTGGTGGGGAGAAGATTCTGGAGAAATCTACTATGTATCCTCAACAAGGAAAGACTGCAGACCTCAGTCTAGGGCTACATCATATCATTATTACACAATTCCCCCTTCACCACATTCATACCAACAAAACTGATCTGCCCTGCACCCTGTTTAATGATACCCAAGCCATAGACTAGGGAAAAAAACAGAAAGCATAGAGGCAACGATATTTTAATATCCTTCCAATTCTGACTCTTGCACAACTACAGGTCTGTGAAAATGGTTAGGTGCATGTGGTGCAAGCACATACAAATTACCACCAGGTACCATTTGTGACACATTTTCCATCCCAATTTTCCCGCTTCAATTCCCAAAGTCTAGGTACTTGGATTCAAATAAAAACAAGGGAATAATAGAGAATTTTAAAAAGTGGGCTGATGATTGCACTACTGGGTTAAACCTCTGCCTCTGGATACTGTACTTTGCACAACAGCCATTTAATTGTTCTGTGCCTCTGTTTCTTCGAAGATAAAAACAGGGATTAGAAAGGTTGTAAGCAAAAAAGATTGTTCCAGAAATGTTAAAAAGATACTGTGTTACTGTCCTTCTCAACTGCAAAGAAAGGCTGGGAGGAATAGAAAGAAATATTTTTGCATGGAGTAAATCACCTAGCCAGGAACACAATGAGAGACCATCCACTTACCAATAATAACAGTGTTGTCATCCGCTATTAGCAACTTGCTGTGGACATAGATAAGCTCAGTGACTAGGTTTCCTTCCAGCACTGCGTGTGTTCTAAGGCCACAGAATGATATGTAATGTATCCACTGATTGCCAACTGTAAATTTAAGAAGGAATTACAAAAATTAATAGAACCAAACTCAAGAAGGGCACATCAAATTTTATCAAAACCAATATACTACTTAAAAAGGTTGTTAAGAATAGATAGCATAATGTGTGAGTGTGTGTATACATAATTTCAGAATTCACCAAGGATCTATTTTTGCTATATAAGGAGTTTTATACTGTTAATCTGGATGAAAGTACATTTAAAAAAATCAAATTGAAGTGATTTTTATGTCTTCCCTTTGGTGAGGCAATCCAAAAATATATTCAAAGATGAACATTTTATTTGAACAATTTGGTGAGTAATTACTGAAGAATTATAATTAATCCTGAGCCAGAGTAGATAACCCAAGACTTCGGTGTGACTTGGCATCTATCTTGGTTGACACCTGTGGTCTAAGTCAAATGCTAGATGTGTGTCCAAACTACCTGTTGTATGCACAGTTTGTAGCACAGCCAGCACAAAGCAGCTGTTAAATTTTACAGGTTTGGGGTAAATAAAAATGCCAGAAAATAAATAACATTCCTCCTTTTAAATTATTAAAATTAGAAAATGAAAGAATCCTGACTACATTTGACTTTGGAGAATTTCTTTCAGAGCAAGCTGTACCAGGTTTGTATTTCAATATGTTGCCCATTCATCATATGGAGACCATTCCTGTGATAAGAAGAAAATGCATTCCACACCAAGCCAGCCCATAATTACTACCCTGACATGAATGTCAGTCACAAGATATTATGGCCTCTCTCCCACATAGCAGTTGTCTTGGATAAGCAAAGTCTGATACTAGAATAATGAAGTGGAACCAAACGATCATAAATTCTAATAGATAATACAAATCTTTTTTTTTTTTAAAGAGACTCTGAAGCACATTATTACAACCAACGGAGTTCATGTTCCATTTACTTAAGTTTCCATGTATTACTAATGTTTTCTATTTTACTGTTGATGTTGTTTAGTGTTTCTATTAAATATGGGTACCTTGGAAAGTAATTCATTCACAGGTTACATACAGAGATTGCTATATTTACAGATAACCCTGTCCTTATACACACGAGTGATCTGTGTATTAATAGCTGTGTTTGCCAAGAGCGGATGTGCTGGTGTGCTGGTGCATCATGTGTAGGAGATGCATTTCTATAGTTTCATGTAAAGAAGATTTTTAGCGAATGAATTTTTTCTCCACTGGTTAATGTTATATTGGAAAGATGTTCCCTACAAAGCACCATCTCCAGACGAGAGAAGCATTTCGTCTTTTAAGAACTGAACACCCATAAAGTTCCTGGAAAAATATTTCTAATATAATGCCTAATATGTTATTTTACAAACATTAATTAAGCCTCTATTTCTCCGACTGTTGCAGAGCTCTTATACATCTTTGTATCCTCAGTCCCTGCAAAATGCTTTAAAAAGTTGAATAATTGAGTGAATGGATGAATGGATAAGTGCTCAGGTGGGAGCTAATATTTTAGCTTTTGGTTTCTCTGTATCATCTACTTTCCTGTAGTTGGCTTGTGATCTAGAATCTAAAATTTTAAGACATAAAGCATCTTTTTAAAAGAATCATGGAGCACACCTTGTGCTAAAATACACATTTTTGTGCAGTAATTTCCCATAAAACATCCATATTGAACAATACAGTAGACCAATGGTTCTTGATGTACCTAAGAACCATCTCTGTGGGGACCTGCTAGAAGCAGAATTCTGGGACCCTCCTCAGAGGTTTCAGTGAATAGGAATCTATATTTCAGTAAGTGCCCTAGGGGATATCATTCTTTAAGTGACACTGCCATATAGCCTTGGTATTAATACATTTAAGATTAGTGGTTCACACTCAGAAAAAAACACAGCATGACCAAGTGAGATGTATTCTAGAGATGCTCCACCTGAGGAAATCCATTATTATGTGTGTATATAATTATAATCTTCAACACTATTTAATATTGCCTTGGAGGTATCAGCCAATACATTTAGACAAAATAAACCATATAGTAAAACCACCTCTATTTGTTGTATATAATAGCATACTTGGGAATTCAGTGATAAAACTGTCTCAAACAATAAAGAATAAGTATGATAGAATATAAATTAACATATAGAAATCAATAGGCTTCATATAACAAATAATAACCATTTAGAGGATATAATCATGGACAAAGTCTCACCATGGCAAGAAGATAAAACACTTAAAGATAAACTTAACAATAAATGTGCCAAATTTTTATGAAGAAAAATTGTAAACAGTACTGAAAGACACAAGAATAGACTTGAACAAATGAAAAGACATCCTTTGCTCTGGGATAGAACAATTTAACATTAAAAAAAATGCCAACTCTCTCTAAGTTAAGTTATAAATTTAATATAATCTCAATAGAAATACCAAGAAGCTTTAATGGAGCTAGAAAACCTGATATTATAGTTCATATGGAAAAATAAAAATTTAAGAATGATTATTAATAAAACTGGAAAAGAAAAACTATCAGGAGGAATTAGTTCTACCTGATATTAACACATACTATAAAATCTGTATAATTAACAGAATGTGGAACTGGCATCTAAATAGACAGCTAACCCTGGGAATGGAATAGAAAGTCCAGAAATAGACCCAAGTATGTATGGAATTTTTGCATATGATAAAGGCAGCATCTCAAATGACTAGGGAAAGGATTTTTACACAAAGGACTAGGACTTTTAAATAACAGGTGCTAGTACAATTCCATCAGCATTTAAAAAAGACAAATATTATATATTTACCTCACACCAATCACAAGAATAAACTCCAAATGGATCAGAGATAGAAACGGAAGCATATGAAACCATACAAGAGTTAGAAGAAAGCAGGGTGAATTCCTGTATAACCTGAGTATAGGAAAGGCTTGCAACTGTCCAGAGGCAATAAAAGAAAATATTGATTACTTTGGCTAAATTAAAAAAGAAAAATCACATTTTCATGATATAAAGCACCACAAGCAAAAACAACAGACAAATGACAGAAGTGGGAGAAAGTGAAGTATGCATCACAGATAAAGAGTGAAGAGTCCTAATATATAAGGAACGCTTAATAACTGAAGGGAGAAAAATATTAAAATCTTGATAGAAAAGTGGACAAAAGACATGAACAGAAAATTCAGGGCCAGCCGAGTGGTGCGTTGGTTAAGAGTTGGCTTGGGATGCCAGCTCTGAGCAGCAGGGCCCCGATTCGGATCCCACATGAAGGCCAGTGACACTGCCCTCTACAGATAAGATGGTGAACAACAGCTCAACCTGGAGCTGGGCTAGTGTGAGTCGCTGGCAATGGCATAGGCTGCAGCCCCTGCTGCAGTGGGCTGCCATGGGCTACCGTGAGTAGATGGCAGCCATCATGAGCTGCCAGCAGCTGGCGTGAGCTGCAGTGAACCACCATCCAATGGCTGGTGAGCGACTGCCTCACCCAGGAAGGGAGCAATGATAATACCAACATGGGCCAGTGAAGCGACATCCTCCACGACTAGACTGAAAACAAAAGGACAGCAATTTGTCTGTTCCCCTTCCCGATTCCCCAATGCTGTTCCCCTCCTCTAAAACCCCAATAAAATCTTTACAAAAAAAAAAAAGGAAAAATCACACACAAAATACACATTTGAAAAGGTAAAAAATATTCATGTTCATTCATAATGATAGAAATGCAAATTAAAACTACACAGAGACACCATTATTTACCTATGAAATTGGCAAGAAAAAGTGGGGATAACACATTCTGTTGACAAGACTGTTGAAGGAGGCTCTCTCATATATTAGTGGTGAGAACGCAAATTGGCACAAGCTTTTTGGAGGAAAATCTGGCAATATCTAGCAAAACTACCTATGTATGTACCTATTGACCCAGCAATTCCACTCTAGAAATTCCCTAAATATACAATTCCAACAAATAAGAACAGAACACATATGCTCAAGGTTATTCATTGCATAATTGTAATTGGAAAATATTGAAAACAGCCTAACTGATCATACATAGGAAAATGATTGAATTAACTATGTCAAATCTATACATGGAAGACCACATGGAAGTAAAATTATATGAAGAAGTCTTTGAAATAACATGGAGTGATTTTCTGGCTATATTGTTAAATGAGAAAAGCAAAATGCATAAGAGAATAGGTGGTATGCTATTCTTAAGAAATAGGTTGGAAGAAATAAAAAATATATACATATGTCTTGCTCATTTGTGCAAAAAGAAACACAGCAAGAACAATCTAGAAACTGATCAAATTGGTTACCAATAGGGAGTGAGTTGGGATTCGGGTGGAAAAGATGGGTGGGGAAGAAACTGAAAGTAAGTATAGGGGAGTGACACTTATCTAAGTATGCCTTTTAAAAATAGTTCTGACTAACACCGGCCTAGTGGGCGTTGGTTAAGAACTGGCTTGGGATGCCAGAGGGCCCCGGTTCAGATCCGACATATGAGGGCCAGTGACACTGCCCTCCACAGCTAAGATGCTGAACAACAGCTCAACCTGGAGCTGGGCTGCCTTGAGTCTCCGGCGACGGCGTAGGCTGCAGCCCCTGTGGCAGTGGGTTGCCATGGGCTACCGTATATAGCCAGCAGCCAGCATGAGCGGCCAGCAGCCGCAGTGAGCGGCCATCCATAAGCCAGCGACTGATCTGCCTCACCCGGGAAGAGCGCAATGATGGTGCCAACTTGGGCCAGTGAAGCAACGTCCTCCACAACTAGACTGAAGAACAAAACGACAGCAACTTGTCTGTTCCCCTTCCCCCAATTCCCCAGCATTGTTCCCATCCCCCCAATTCCCCAATAACAATCTTAAAAAAAAACAAACAGTTCTGACTATTGGAAGTATATCGCACACACTCAAAAAAATCAAGAAAGATACTTTAAAAGCTCTAAAATGGAATATAAACTGAAGTAAATGAACCTAACTGTATTTCAAATTAATAACATCATCCAAGTACATTTTGAACACTGACTTTTGAATATATGTATACCCTTATGC